TAGGAAGATATGGCCGAGAGAAAATCCCTCGTCTGAGATGCTCGAACTCTGATGGTTCGGTCACCGCCTCATAATCAATTACTACAGGCGAAATGTACCTCTTTGCCAGATCCACTAGTTCACTCCAGTTTGAACCATCCGTAAGAGTGTATCTTCCTAGAGAAAATCCTTCATCTGAGATGCTCGAACTCTGATGGTTCGGTCACCGCCACATAATCAATGACTGCAAGTGAAATGTACCTCTTTGCCGAATCCACCAGTTCACTCCAGTTTGAACCATCCGTACGAGTGAAGGGGACTGGAGGCTTAGGATAATCAGTGTAGAGCTTTGGTCCAAAGCTGCGAATCCGCCTAACTCTTTCTCTCTCTTCTAAGTACTTGGCTGCAGCAACCCAAACTGAATCGAAGTACTCATGAGTCTCCTTGTCTTTCTTCACGTAGAGTCTCAAATCAGGATGGTGCCTGCTGCAAAACTGGTGAGAACAACAAAAATGGATAGGTTTACTTGTCTGAAGCCAACTGCACTTACGTATCGATACTGGACTGCATCTTTGAGGGCTATGATGTTGAGACTAGCCAAGACGGACCCATTGACTCGAAATGACTGAATCATACTCATGTGCTGAAGTGGGTATTGAAACTGATTGGCTCTAACTGGAAGGTTCGAGCGACCCGGATGACAGAATGCTGATTGACCACTTATTGAATACCGATTGAACACCGATTGAATACTGATTTAATACTGATTGGATATTGCCCACTTAATAGCGACACAGAGTACTGCTCACTTGATAGCAGCGCTGAGTACAACTCACTTGTTAGCAACACTAAGTACGACTCACTGATAATAGCGCTGAGCACTGGTCTCTGATAACAGCGCTGAATACTGTTCACTTGATAGGAGTGTTGAGTGCTGCTCACTGATAACAGCGCTGAGCACTTGTCTCTGATAACAACGTTGAGTATTGTTATCTGATAACAACGTTGTGTACTGTTCTCTGATAACAGTGTTGAGTACTGTTCACTGATAACAGCGCTGAGCACTGTTGGAACGTTGATGGAATGCTGATTGAATGCTAATTGAATGCTAATTGAATGCTGACTGTCCTTAACTGAGGTTTCCTGATAACCCCCTCCGATGGCCTAATGTTGTTGAAATGATAGGTCACTGAATATGGATTACTTAGCAGGGTGTTGAATATTGTTCGTTTGATAGCACAACACGGCACATGACTGTACACTTGATAGCATGACACTAAGTATTGCTCACTTGATAGCACAACACTAAGTACCGTGACACTGGTTAGCACGTCATTGAGTACTGCGATATTTGAAAGTTGTGCGTTGCTTACTAGTCGGGCATATTGACGAAGTGCTTGAGGAGAGGGGTCTTTGCACTTTCACACTCTCCCGGACTCCATCCTGGCCTGTTCGATCGTCTCGAAAGATGAGTAGGTACTGTACAGTTCTCCACTAGGCCCATAAGAGTATATAATGTACTCAATGTTTTTCTGGGTCTTCGCCGCTGTCAGTGCATGCTCCCTCATTAACCTTATGTGGCACTGAAAGTCCTCAAGTGCTTCCTCTTCCCAGGTTTTCACCTTATCCTGAAGAAGTGCATAGGTCATCAATAAAGCATTTTCACCTCCCCGTTTTTGCAAGCGTTCTCAACTACAGCTCCAACTAAAAAGCACGAGAAACGCACTGAATGAGAGGTTCTTCATAGTAACCAATCTTTGATCATAGACAGGTACACCATGATTGGCTAGGATTTGGAGCAAATAGTGACAGTCCGCTACTACAGCAAGTGGCGACCCCAGCTATAGCCCCACTGTGTGGCAAAGGCTTCTCTACTTTAGATCGCCAGCGTGGGAAACCGAGCGCCTTTAAGCGGCGTGTCGAGTATCATAGCCAGCAGAACTTACCAACGCAAGCGTATCTGGACAGCCCCCTGATTAGTGTTGTTCACGAGATCACTAGCATCTCCAGACTGAGCACACAGACAATCGACAATACTTCCTACACTTCCCTCAAGAGCTGGTAGATCTGACTAAAGTTAGAGACCGAGGAAAACTGATCTGTCCACGCCACAAACTCATGAGGGATCATGTCCTCTCAGATAGTCGTTAGGAGAAGCAGATTGAGCGTGCCATCAGTGATCTCGGATAAGAATTGTATGCTCTAGATACCCATAGGCTCACATATACATTTTTCTACTTTCCCCAGTTGAAATAATCAGGGAAAAGGGGCCAACCCTGTCAACCTCAACAGTCAAGTTATAATTAACGCTGACTTTTAAACAGGCTCACTCGTGTTATCTGGCAGGGTTAGTCAAAATCACACTTCTTATCAGCCCCTTTAGTCAAGAACATACACAAACCGAGATTTCACTAGTCTCTGTCGAGCATGTACTTAACTAGAAGGTAAGCAATCTTTCTTAGATTTACCCTTTTCCCATTCATAAATCAAGAGAGGGTGTTTGCAACAAAGCATGGATGTTTTTACTCTAATAGGGAAAAACTCACTCAACTCTCTCTAGTAATCAAGGAGTCGTCAAGCTTTCCCCCAATTTGAGGAATCGGTAAATGAAAACCCAATTGGTCCCATTACGACCGAGGACAAGGAGACAAGCAACGAGATGCAAAGTGAGGGAACAACGATAAAGCGCCCAGAAAAAGCGACAACTCATAGAGACTCAACCCATCAAAAACTCGCAACCATATCTTCATACTTTTTGCTCGTCACTTCTTTTTTTTTGTTTTACTATACCCACAGAAGAAAGTGGCAAGGCAACTTATCTGAACCGTTTCACCACTCACTGACATGACAGCCAATTAGCAATCCCCTCAATCCATAGCCCATTAACTTCTGACGGCATTCAGGACTACTCGACTCTATGAATATGCTTAGCTGTTACTTGTCTCTACCCTTCCAACTTTCCAGCCTGTTCTCGACCACAATGTCATCTCATTAAAAGTGGTTCAAAGCTCGCAAGATCTCAATTAACACCCAGAGTCCGCTTTGCACGCTCCGTCTCTTCGTCAGATCTCAATTATTTATGTTGCTTGGTGACTGTCATTTCTCCCCACCTCTGCTCTTTTAATATCACTTATTGCGTAACTGTTTTCTGGAGCATGCGCAAGATCATGGATTGACCCCGCTCGATAGCCCTAGGCAACTCTCAATCCGAACTATATGACAGAGAGAGTGATATACAATATATGTTCAAGACCGGAGTTCGCTTACAACGCCTCAGACCCGCTCCCTATCAAGGGTTAGCATTTGCTACTTCTCTCAGTGCAGGTCCACTTCGCAGCCCCTGTTTCATGACATAACGACTCAAGCAAAAAAGACAACATCAATCCAGAAATTATTTCCCATTCAGCATGCCCACTGCCGACAGTTCTCGGGTCGCCTTCAAGCTACCGAGTCCACGACAATTATCTAAAGCGCTCATGAATGCGTGGCGCTCGTGACACAGACTAGGGCCGCAAACACAGAGAAGGTTGGTCGAATAAGAAGATCAACAATGTCGGCCCCCAATCGTGCAAAGTCAGAACTCAAGTAAGCTATAGACTGTTGCGGCCTGTTGGCGACGTCAACCAATAATGGGGACGACCCCGTTGTCTCCGCCGTTCTCCACTTCTGCGAGTCTTCCTCTCACCCCCTTTACTTCTAGGTTACGACTATTTACCTTCACACAAGCAAGCACCTTGTAGGCTAGGTGCCTTGAGACGGGTAAAGCAGTAACGTGCAAAACCACTGACCACAAGAAAGTCGAAATTACTAGAAGCCTGCCGAAAGAGATCTTGAACGCGAACAACGTTAAGAGAAAGACGGAATAATGCAAGCGAAGTCAAACATAACGGCTCAGGTACGGGAGATAACATCAGCTGAGGTCATTTTCTGCTCAATACACCCGTTGACAGCAGTCCACGGGTTGCCTTCAAACTATCGAGCCCAGAACATATGAGCACACGACGTCTACGACATAGATCAAGTGAAGGGTTCGGATGAGAGGTCGAATGGGGAAACCATCAATCATCGACTTTCCAAGAGATTGCGTGCTCCTCAGCCTGTACCACGAGACTGACCACTGTTAGTCATGAAGTGGCTTTAGCAAGAGAGGTGATGCCAACATCACTTTCTTGTACACCACTCCCCTTCTTCACGAAAGCCTCTCTTTCTCACAGGATCTCCCAGAGTCTTCCCTGTCTCCCTAATCCGTCCTCTTTCGCATACGCATGGTAGTGTTCCATTATTTTCGTCACCTGCAACACTCGGACATCAGCACTGCTCAGTACTGCATGGGGTGCCAAGCAACGTCGCGTCTTGAGGAGGAGCTTCACGTCAACGGCGAAGATTAGGCTCACGTCTTGCTTGTCCTGCCTGGCTACTGCAAGCAAGGTTCTATCCGTAGCCCGCGAACGTGCAGCTTCGCCCCGGTCACGCATGAGGCGCCCAGTCGGCCAATCCCGAATCCTTCCTCGCTTGCTTGTTTAGGGAAGACAGAGTCGCCAGGCACGAGACCCGCATGACCTGCCCACGACAAAAGACTGAACCACTCAGTGATGGTCCCCCGCGCATATGACAGAAAATCCCAAGTGAGTGACGTCAACCATAGCTACTCTGTACACCACCACGCCTTCTCACACTCTCCACTGGTAGCGCACTATCCCCCATGAGCCATCCAAACATCTCCCCCTTTTTCTCCGAGTCCCTTTCCTCCCACTTGAGCATAATCGTCACGCTCTGTCACAGGTCGCCCCCGACCTGTAACTGTCCAGTACTCTTAGTTACATCTCCGTCGTGAGTTGGCCTCTGGACCACTCTCCACAGGCCCAGCCAATGGATGGTCCCTCCGCCACTGGTCCAACCCATGCCAAGACTGGGTCTCCGCGTTCAAGTCACTGGCGTCGCTCTCAGCTTCAGTATTGCGGTCCAGGTGCTGTTGCTCGCGTTCTACCGTGTCCGTAGAGGTTTTCGCCTCCAAGTACGAGACGGTCACCTTGATTTCATTCGTGACCGCGTCTCACCTGCATCTCCTTTCGTCTCTGTCCTTGGCCTCTGTGATCGCCAACTGCGAACATTGGTCTGCCCTCATTTCCTCCTCTTTTCCTCCTACGTTTACCCTCAGTTTCGCCTCTTGCCTACCGTAGTTGTAGTCCAGCAGGACCGTCACCGTAGGCCCTTCTCCTGACATTTGCTCCCATCTCCAAAGAAACTAGAGACACCTTGGCCTATAGTCGTACAGTCCGCTGCTCCGTACCATGACTACGATCTCACGACCAGCAGAGTTACGGTACGCAAAGCACACACACTCAGCCTGCCCCTTCTCACGAACACCTAGCCACTTCCTGCTTCGAGCTCAGTTCGCCAGTCGTTAGCACGATGGAAGCTCCTGAACGCATCCTTCAGGTTGGCCACCGAGGACTCGTTTGCCTCGTCCTTTATAGGCTTGTCTCCTATCGCGACCCCTCCCCCTCCACGTTCTAAATGAGGAACTCAAGTGGCTAATAAAATAAATAAGACAATTAATCTATAAAGAAAATTTGGGAGGCCGAAGCTCAACAGTCAGAGCACGCGCCCGACACATAGTGTTACTGTCAATCACTAATCCCGGTGATGTGACTACATGCCTAAAGCGGTGGTCCCATAACGGGATACCGACCGACAACCTTTCTATTCCAAAAGGAATCACTGGACTACAACTAACGGGTACCCGCATCCGATGGCAAGGAGGGGGCTTATGACCTTCCACAGGGGGTGATAAGCCTCCTGCCAAAGCGGTCGCGGGTCGCCCCTCTTTTTGAGGTCCTACTGTATGGCGCCCAGTCAGTCGAGTCAGTATTAGAGCAAGACGAAGAAGGTCAGGCCAGTCTAGACCGTCCTTTTATGATCATGGTTCAAAAATGAGCCGTTAGCCGCACCCCGCGAAGTAACCGAAGGAAAGATTAAATAAATGAATAGACAATAGAAGAGGTAATAATATCAGAGAGGAGAGAACAACGCTTCAAAATTTCTCGCGCCGATATACCACTAAACCCACCAGGCCCCGAGACACAATGTCCTCGATCTAGGTCTAGGCACGGATCCAAGCTCAACACTCGACCTTTCCCTCTTTTACTGACGGTGACCGTCGCCACCGCACCTACCCCAGAACATGACAGTAGGGACCCGACGTGCGGTTGCGAGAACCAAACCGACTATCGTTATCCCACTTCTGCACTTAGCCCTGATCATGACCATCGAGGACCAACGCGCGGTTGACCATGCTACCCTTTTTTTATCACGCTAGGCAACCCGGACGGTCACTTCAATTACGGGACGGCACTGTAAGGCAGGATACTGAACCTGCGCAATATCACTCGAAAACCTAGTATCTGGGCCTGTCAATTCCATACGACCCTACGGACTGATACCGGGCTTACAGTGGTAAGTGAACAGATGATGACCTGATACACATCGAAGGGTCGGGACACCGCGCCCTCCGACATGATACCAAACCCCCGCCCTTCCCCGCTGGGCAGAAAGAACATTTAGTTAACAGAAAAGGAACACCGATAGCAACATTCTCATTCATTCTCGCAGTGCAATTCATAAGGAAGTTTCTCATGGCAATTCTGCACCAAGTGCTAGCTCGTGCTTCCCCTTTCGAAGTGCTCTTTTCTGCGTAGTCCACAACCGTTCCTCTTTCTTCTTTAATAGCATACCCTTCTTTCTCTTGCAGTGTTAACCCAGTCTCGATCCCCATCGTCGCACGTCTCTTTTCCTTTTCGATTCTTCTTTCACTATAACTGAGGCACGTAGTGGACAAGGGGTAGAGGCGGAAAAGTGGGTAAGGCTCGTGAAGAACCGCCTCCTCGCACAAGGCGCGAGTATAGCTGGTTCGAAGAGGAGGAAGAGATGCGAGGTTATGGATCCTATACAAGACCATACTCGCATCCTTCTCTTGTTGGTTGGCACGAAAGGACTCCATCTCCCACTAAGATGGAGTACTATCAGAAAAAGCTTGAAGCGCGCTGTGGCGCCCCAAGCACCTCCTCTCCCCCATACTCGCCCAGAGCCCCCGCTACTCCCACGTCAAACAGGGCCCTAATGCCAATCCCTCCAGCCCCTATCCCATGTTCAGTTTCTCCCACTCCTCATCTTAGTGATTGTACTCTTTTCTGTATTTTCATTCTTCTCACACTTCTTCAACTTGATTTCATGGCTATCCTCTATATCTTGTATAAACGCGATTTTTTCGTGAACTTCTTAGTCTTTTCTTTGTATTGACTTTTCAATCCATTCCATAGCGTCCCTGGCTTAAGAGTTTGAATACCTCGAGGTCAGGTTGTAAACCAGGCCGCTTGTCACCCACCAACTAAATTTAAGAAGGATTTCTCATCTGCTACTGGTTTGACTTGCCACTGGACTTTTTCAACTATGAAGTTACCTTGTTTCTTGTTTTGACAGTGATACCAGGAATATTGCCCAATTGACTTTAACGTTGAGGACACTCATTCTGTCTGCCATACTCGGGATAGGGTATACAAAACCCTTTTCTTGTTTTCTGACTTGAGTGAGATGTTTTTCAACTTCTCAAGCAACTCAGGGGATACCAAACCCCATTTTCTTGTTTTGGCCTTGGAGTGCTTGAAGCGTCTGCATGATCCTACAAAACAGCGAGTCTCACAGTCTCAACATACCGACTCCCTGGCAAGCAGTCATCAATCAGTAATTAAATAAAAATAAATAAATATAAAAACCCATTATAAAATAATAAATAAACATAAACAGTTCTTCACACCCAAGAGTTATTGATTGCCTTGGTTTTAGCCCACCACTGGCAAGGAATGGCAGACCTCCCTTCAGCCTGACATACCTTATTCGGCCCGCCTCGGACGAGGACCAATCAAACCGTTTGTCTTGACGACCTCTTTAACCTACTTCCAGGTCAGGACCACCAAGACACCCAGACTATAGCGGGTCCCACCAAGACACCCAGACTATAGCGGGTCTGGTCACCCTATGACAGTAGACCTCCCGTCAGTCAAACTGTCATGTACCCGAATTTGACCACTGCGGTCGGGGACTGACTCACCCATCAGTTTTCAGCCTAGGGCGCTGGCTGCCCTGCCTTAATTTTTGAACGTGGGACCCAGTCTAACCACGGTTCCAGGCTCTGGCGAACCTCACTGGATTGCATCCTCTGACTGCGGTAGGGTTCCAACTGACCCCTTTTGACCTCACAGGCCAGACTCCCAGAGTCTTAGTCAACTACGGAATTCGACACTCGCATCGGGGACCTGCTGACCCCACTACATTGCAACCTACTGCCGTAAAGCTCTGGATGGCCCCGACAATCAATGCATCTTTAGGTTAGTGAAGGAAATCTCAGACACAGAGAATCAACACAGTCAAGCAGTACATGCCCCAGATAACAAAACAAACATTTCTCAAAAGATGTCCCTTCAGTCTCAAGTAGCACTAAACAACAACAGCAAACAACCGACAATGCATTTCCTAAAGACTCCCCCTTAGCCTCAGGAAATACAAAGTGCTGATCCCAGAGAGGTCCCTTCCCTCATCTAAGAGTACTCCCAAGAGACCTCCCGTCCGCCTCAAGGGAGCATAAACATACTGGCCCCAGAGAGGTCCCTTCCCTCATTTGGAACAAAAGATAAGCAACTTAGTCAAGAAACACAAAGTCCCCATGCTGACAACTCTCTGGTCAAGCAAGGCTGAACTTCTTTATGCCTATCTTCTCGACAACTCTCTTGGACAGGCAACTTAGTCAGAAGTCACGAAGTTCGTCCACTGACAACTCTCTAGTCAGTTAGAGCTGAACTTTTATTATGCCCGTCAGATTCTCTCTTCATCATGAGATCAAAACTAACTCTTGTACCACAACCACGATTTTCTCTGAACTTAATATCACTGCAACTGCACTTCACAGTTACTCCCCACTCAGGGATCTGATGCTCGTGGATCAACTGCAGCCCAGTATTTATGACACTTTTATCTCATCGTCTCTGTCACTTATAAAAACAATAAAGTTTATGCCTGGTCAACTTCTGATATCTGTCTCATTCTGATCTGAAGTGAAATAGAATACTCTTTGTCACTCTCTTGGCTCGACCACGTCTTGATTATACTTTCAATAGGCAGAGTAGCATCCCGACCATACCACAGAATGAATGGAGCATAACAAGTGGTTCTCTTGACAGTGATATTGTCCGCATAAACTACAACTCTCAATACAGTTGGCCAATTATTGAGGTTTCCTTCACACCATTTAGCCAATGAATCTTTCAGCGTCCTATGACCTTTTTCGACTAGTGCATTTGCTTGAGGATGATAGGTGGCTACATAACGAATTCTGACTCCCAGTCTGAGAGTAGTTCTTCTTACGATCTCATTCTTGAATTCAGATTCTCTATCTGAGACAAACTCTCTGATAAAAGAGTAGTTGAGATAGACTTCCTCTATCCAGTCAACCACTTGCTCGGCTGTTTTCCTTTTCAGAATCTTTGCCTCGACATATCCTGAGAAATTATCCCTCATGTTCAGTATGTATCTCATCCCACCCTTACCCAAAGACATGGTAATAACGTCCAAGTGGACCCGACTCCATGACTCTGCTAGTGTAGTAGGAAACAAGGGTTCAATCATCCTCGTAGTAGACCTTTTCTTACATAATACAAAAAACTAACAAAATCTGTAAATCATGTCTCTCATGTTAGGCCAGAAGTAGAGTTTGACTGTTTTAGAGTAGGTTGCTTCAGCAACTCTATAACCCCCTCGTGCAGAACAACAATTATTTCTAGTTGTCTTTCCTTCCCACAAACAACTCTTAGTGGAGGCAAACCTCCTTTGCCATCCACAAAGAGGTGACCTCTCTTTAATCTAAACTTTTTCTTTAAGTTTTTGCAGTAATATTCCTTTAATCGCTCTCTTTCCATCTTCTTCCCAATCTCTTGATAAATTTCATCATGTTCTTCAAAGATAAATAATATCTCTTCCTCTTTCTTCTCACCATCTTCCTCATTTTTTGAACCAAAACTCTCCCAGTTCATGAGCAGCCACAGCCGCTACGTTGACCCTAGCATACCATTAATTTTGCTCTTCTTCTTCTTTCTTTTCAAGAATTAATTCATCGACATAAGCATCAGGGATTTCTCCCCAGATGTCTCTCTCTTCAGACCATAAGCTCCACTTGTA